AATATATGTGAGACAACTCACAAGTGATATTCCAACACGCCCCCTCACTTGGGAGTCCTTCGTAAGCCCAAGCCCACATAGCAGGCCGGGTAGAAAGATAAGCCCAAGCCTAGAGCAAACCGGGTAAAGAGTCTTTCGTAAGCCCAAGCCCACATAGCAGGCCGGGTAGAAAGATAAGCCCAAGCCTAGAGCAAACCGGGTAAAGAGAGTCATTGCTGGTAAAGAGAGTGTGCGGTACCACCAGATGAAACACATCATAAGAGGGTGAGATTAAGTGCACATTAGTGAAGTTACATCCCAAAGCCAATTGGTAATGAGAGGAGTAGCCCACTAGACTTATATACTACATTCATTTTCTCTATAGAATCAATGTAGGACAACTCACAATTAATATTCCAAAGCATTATCATGGTTAAAATAATATTTTGAACATATCATGATTTCATAAGAATTAATCTAAATATATCTTATGGTAACGTTTCCTAATTATATGTTCGATAAAGATTGGAATATCGTTGATTTGATAATATTTATGATTACCATTAGATATTGACATGTGAATGTTCGATAAGTCATCAATTAGTAATTTATTCATGACTCGTGTCTAAAATGCTGTAGTAACCCTTATCTAATTTGTGTATTCTTTCTTGCATATACAAACCCAACTATTCATTTTTTTTTCCGAAACGATAGGATATATTACTCAAAAATAGAATGTACAAATGTGAAGGCTAAGTAGCATTAGATACAACCAGCAGGTTAAGGAGGAACACTAAAAATGACCTAGAAAACAACAAAAGAATGAAAGAGTAGTATACCTGAGATAATGACAAAGCATATGAGCTCATGCAACCTAATCCTATCACAGCAAAATGGAAGAAAACCACTGGTCTAAGACCCTAACTTAATTCCACAGAAGGCCTCCAAACAGGCACCAAAAGAAAGAACGAAAAACCCAACTATTCGTTCATTCATCCATTCTTGCATATGAAAACCCAACTATTTCACCATGTTATCCTTGCCAAAAATATGATGGCCAAGGACAAATGAGAGGAATGGTATGCCTACACAGCACCCATTTTGTGGTCCACTATATGCCTACTGATCTATACTGTTTCAAAATATTTAACTTAACCAAAGAGCGCTTGGATGAGATGGCTTGGGTCTCTTCCAGCTTAACAAGTGGTCTCGTGTTCGAGCTCTGGGAATGCAGCAGTGTTAGAAACTCTTGAGGGAGAGTTTTGCCGCCCTTGTGGTCCTACCCGGCTCGATTCCAAATTAGTCGATTCCCCTGTGGATCCGAAAACCGGAAGGTCCCTGTACCCAAAAAAAAAAATATATTTAACTTAATATGTGGAATAGTATTCATAATTCATACTTTTTAAAATGTGATGAGATCATATGCAAGCAAGTAGATAAAACATCATCTTTACTAGAGGAGCCAGATTACTTTTTTTTTATATATATATATTATTATTCCAATGCAATGTATTATATAAGACCCCTTTTGATTTTGATAAAGATAAATGATAAATAAATTAGTTGTAAGCTGACAATGGTTTTCAAATGGGAACAGGATATAAAGTAGAACAGGGCCAAGGGTTAGGCATGTTCACGGGACGAACCGGCCCGTGAACCGGTCCCAGCCCGGCCCTGAACCGCCCTCCTAAGAGCGGGTTCGTTGAACCGGACCCTTTGGGTCGTGGTACGGTCCTAGTTCACAATTTTTTTTTTGACCCGCCGGTTCGGGCCGCGGGTTAAACGACGGGCCCTAGTGTTATTTTTTTTGTTTTTAAAGGCCGTACCAGCCCGTGACCCGTCGGGTCAGTGAACCAGTGGTTCAGGACCGATTCTATGAATCGACTAATAGTTTATTTCGAGCCCGTCACGGGCCATGATATTGAGGCCCATCAACACGGTGGTCTGGGCCGGACCGGGCCCGTCCCGGCAATTATCCATCTCTATATAAAAATATTGGCAATTGGCCGGGCAAACTGATTTGACGTGACCCACTATTCATTCATACATAAAAATAAAGTAGTGAAAAGTGAAAACATTTGGGTTATTGACCCTGTATTAGGTGCCACGTGTTGAGTAAATATGACATGGTCTCTTGTAGTTTTTAGAGGGTTGAACGCGGATTGACCAATCACTGTGTTCCAAACCAAAGCTATTCGCCAACAAAACAAGATTTTTTGCTACTACTTTGGGTCCAATGACAAAGCTACACATCTCTCAATCCTCAATTCAGTGCATGAAACACGTTATTGAGTCTCTCCATTAAGATATTATACTCCCATTCCACGATATTTCTTATCTCACGATTATGGATTATTACTTGTGAGCTTTGAACTAAAAGTTGGCTTAGATGTCCGCTTGAGCGGAGTTAGACGGCACTTAAGCGCCACGATTTTGCATAGTCGGCGATCATTCTAGGCGCTCCAATGATAGGCGGCCTCTAAGCGGGTTAAGTGTTTTGTAGTATTTTGTGAGGTAGATGGTAACCGAGCTACCGAGACTCGGGTCGTTCTAAATAAAAAAGCTATTTAAAACTTTGTCTACTACTTGATCGTCCACAACACCCAAAAAGGAGAAAATAAGGACTTGAACATTCTAATCGATTAGTTTGAGAGGTTTTTTAAACTAATTAAGACTAAGAAATTTAAAGGCAATAACTCACCATTAGAACTTTAACTAACGATTATATGTAGATGAAACTGGAGTCTTCAAACTTGGGAAAGACGAAAATAAAAC